TATGTGTCCAGCCATCTGATTTTTGGCAAACGAGACAGTGTCCCTGATTCTTGATCGTCGATGGAGGTCAAAACTCCAGATTCTTTCTCTCACTTGAATGAAGGATGATACTCCAAGAACAGCTCTTTTGATTCCTCTTTGGGAGACCCGAATAGTGTTCTCATCCTGTTTTCGTAGGGCACAGGTCTCTGAGGCATATGTTAATGCAGGAAGACAGTGGAATCGAAGAGATGTGCCCGGAGCTGGAAGTTCTTCATCCTCTTAGCTATTTCTTTGATGCTCTTGAAGGTGTTCCAAGCTGCTGTCTTCCTCCTGCACAACTCAGGTGCTAGATCATTCATCATGTTGACTTCTTGACCTAGGTACACATACCTGTTGCATTTGGAGATATTCGTTCCATTGAGAGTGACTGGAACGTCAGGAATGAGATCGTTTCTCATAAACATTGTCTTTGTGAGATTCAGCTGTAGTCAGACCTATCCACACTCATGGTCGAAGTTGGGCAGCATTTATTCCACTTGGCTAATCTTTGGTGTTATTAGAAAAATATCATCAGCGAAGCAGAATTGGTGGTTGCTGACCATCTATCTTCACTCCCATTCTTTCCCATTTCAGTCGTTGCATGACATTCTCGAGGGTGGCACTGAAAAGTTTTGGTGAAATGGTATCACCCCTTGGGAGAAGCATGATGAAAGTAGACTATAGACCAAACATGACTGCCACTCAATGCCTCTCTTGCAAAACACAGGACCCAAAAGAAGAGAGAGAGAACAAGGGGGAATGCCCTGCCACAGAGGCAGAGTGGGATGGGGGTTATGGGGGGTGGGAGGGATGCTGGGACCCGTGGTGGTAGAGGATGGGCGCTGGTGGAGGGATGGGTACTTGATCATTGTATAACTGAAACCCAAACACAAAAATTTGTAAGTCTATAACTGTACCTCATGGTGTTTCACTAATAAAAAATTTTTAAAAAAAGAATTGGTATCACCCTGCCGAACCCCTCTCTTGACATGGATGATCACTTCATTGTAGAATGGTGAATCTGTAATACAGCTTATGGAGGATCCTGATGTATTGAGTTTGAACGCCCTGTTTGGCTAGAGCTTCGATGACTGCTTCAGTCACAACATAATCAAAGACCTTCTTTAAAATCAATGAATGTTAACAAAGTAAGAGATTAATACCCAAGAATAGCTGAGATCAGCACCAGGAGGATTACTCCATAACTTAGAGGCCAGCCGGGTATCCTAGAGGAAAGGGCAGTTCAGATAGAGAAGGGAGCACCAAATAAAGGATGTTTGGAGGATCCTCCCAGGAGGGGAGATGCATGTCGAAAGTAGACTATGGACTGAACATGTTTGCCACTCAATGCCTCTTTTGCAGACCACAACACCCAAAAGGAGAGCGAGAACACAGGGGATTGCCCTGCCACAGAGACAGGGGGGTTGGGGGGATGGGGGTGGGAGGGATATTATCCATGGTGGTGGAAAATGGGCACTGGTGGAGGGATGGGTATCTGATCATTGTATAATTGAAACCAAAGCACAAAAAATTGTAAATCTACAACTTTAAAAAAAATAAAATACAATAAAGGGAAAAAAATAAAATAAAATCAATGAATGTTAGACAGAGCAGCATCTTGAACTCCCAAGAAACCTCAGTGAGCTTGGTTATCATGTGGATATGGTCTATCATTCTGAATCCTTTTCAGAACTCTGCTTGCTTGCATGGTTGTCCTTCATCTAGTGTTCTGCTAATCCTATTCAGGATGACTCAAGTGAACAGCTTTGTAGACGACAGACAACAGGCAGATTGGGTGATAGTTGCCAATGTCGTGGATGTTTCCCTTCTTGGACAGTAGTACAGTCCTGCTGGTTTTCCACTGGGACAGAATTTTGCATTCAGACAGGTAGCGTGTGAAGAGCCAAGCCAGTGTATTGATGAGTACTGACGGGAGCTTCTTCAGGTGTTCGGGTCTGACCTTATCTGGGCCAGGTGCTTTTCACTTCTTTACCGATGAATTGGCGTGTTGGATTTCGGAAGGGAGAACATTGGGAACGACTTTTCCATCCTGTGGAATGTGGTATGTGGGCAGGTGGATGTGACTATCGAAGAGATCCAAGTAGAAGTCATGGATAATCTTCTCCTTTGCCCTCCTGGAAGATGTGTTAGATCCATCAGGATGTCAGAGAGCAGTCATCTTAGTCTCGTAGTTAGCAAAGGACAGGCGAGCATTACGAATGCTTTTTTTTTTTTGCTTCTGTCGCATCTGCCAGCACTGCTGCTCTTCTGTCTTTGATGTATCCCTTGATCGCTTCTCTGCACTGCTTTGCAAGCTCGGACTTTTGCTTGTGGTTGCCTGAGACTTGTGCCAAGCCACGCTGGTGAATAAGCTCAAGAGTTTTCAAAGACAGGCATCTTTTTGTGGCTACCTCTCTCGGTGTTCCTCCTACAATCATGGAGGTGTTGAACCAATCGATCATATTCTTCATCAATATTGTCAATGATGGCATCTTCCCATGTTGCAGCAATAGTGCCAAAGAGCTCCCAGTTGGTGGTCATTCTGGGAGTCTTTTTCTTAAACTTTGCAGCCCTTTCTCCCCACTCTGTCAAATAGAATTTTGCACAAAGGAGACGGTGGTCCGATCCTATTTGGAACTTTGGGACAACAGTGACATAGGTCAGGCAAAACCGGCGATTAAATATGATGTGGTCAATTTCATTGTGGAACCACCCACAGGGAGACTCCCATACCCAACATTTAGATTAGGCCTTCTGGAACTGTGTGTTACCATGGATGGTCTTGGTCAACATGATTAACTCAGATAGTCTCTCACCTTGTTCGTTTCATTCTAGGCCATGGGCCCTAATGTGGAGTTCTTTGGCTGATCTTCTCAGTCCTATTTTAGCATTAAAATCACCAATGATGATCTTGTAGGTGTGGTCTTCTTTATAGAATTTCTCCAGCTCCAGCTCAATTTCTTCTTCATCTTAATTGGATGTTGGTGCATAGACAACGAAGACAGAAACTGCCGGCAGTGAGCCACATCTATTCAAGTATAATCATCTGATTCGGGTTTTAGATATTCTAATGAATCAATGCTCATGGCCAAGTTTGTGTTGACAAGGACACTGACACCATCAACGCCTCTTATGTCACATGTTCCAAGGAAAAACTCTTCTTCGGTGTCAAAAACAGCATGATGTGATTGATGCTTTCTTGTCTTGGTCACACCAAGGATGTCAACTTGATCTTTCGTGCTTGCACCCTCAGTTCCTCAATGGATACATCCGATGACAGCATATGTGTATTGAAAATACAGACAGTCATTTTTTTTTCTTCTTCATTTTGGCAGCCTAGTTAGGCCTTGAGATTTTATCAGGTTCTCCTTCCTCATCCTTCTTAATGTTGCCATATTGGAGGATCTTTCAGTGTCAGGGGAATGAGACCCATAGTATTTACTTGTTTTGGTATATTGAATACACCATGGATAGCTTGTCAGGCTCTGCCGTCCTGGCAGGATACTCTCGGTAGCTGGCCAGGCTCTCCAAGAGGGATAGAGGCTTTTAGGGTGGCCTCTAATCGCACTTGCAGGTATTCCCATGGTTCAAACCATATTTGAACCCCATCAAACACAGTGCAGTAATCTTGGAAGATGGGTATTAAGTGTCTTCTGATGTGTGTGATTTATATCAAATGCTAGAGTAAAAATCTAGAAATAAGTGTAAGTGTTGCTTCATATTGATAAAATAATAATACACCAGTAAATATAGACTTATAAACTTTATATGCTAAAAATATTTTCAAAACATACAAAAGATTAATTATCCTGGGGAGATTTTTAAGATTATATACTTCCAAGAGGAATGAGTGAAGCAAATGACAAATCATCATGGACACAGAATACACAAATTCTAAAACCAATAAGCTAATCTAGTGGACAAGATAAAATGTTCTACTGAACACCTAATGAAATTAGAGTTTGAAGATCCAATTAAATTTCTAACTTAAAGACCTTTAAAATCCAAGTCTGAATTATTTCAAAGGAAATTGAAAACCATATCAAAGATTTATCAAAATTGACCACCATAAAAGTATATCTCTCAATTTGAGATATTTTAAAATATCTATATCATGAAGATCAGATTTTTTAATCATAAATTAAATTATAATCACCAACTAAAAAATAAATCACAGCATTTTAATATTTAGAGACTACAGTGAAGCAAAAAGAAAACCACATATTTTACTATAGGGCAAAACTTTAAGAACATGGGGCTGGAACTATAGTTCAGTGGGTAGAGCATTTGCCTTGCACCCGGCCAACCCGGGTCCGATTCCCAGCATCCCATATGGTCCCCCAAGCACAGCCAGGAGTAATTCCTGAGTGCAAAGCCCGGAGTAACCCCCACGCATCACCAGGTGTGACCCAAAAAAAGAAAAAAAAACTGTAAGGACATTTTTTTACTACATTCAGTGTGGTGAATTTTGGGGCTCAATAAATCATCTTATTTTCCCACTTTAATTGACCTATTTTCGAAAGTCTGTAGGAGTCAGGCAGATGGAAATAAATCACCATTTTATTAAGTGTTTCCTTTTTTTCAGAAAGTGACTTAAATGTGTATAATGGGCTTTCATATTTTCTCCCCTAAAATTTACTTTCTACCAAAAAATTTCAGTCATTAACCACAAGGATAGGGTATCCATGCTCCCTGAGGCAGACAGGCAGTTCCAAAGGAGAGGCATGAGGTAAAGGCTTGCTAGGTATGCACAGTTATCCAGTTGCTCTTCTGAAACAGAAATGACACAAGCACTACATCCAAATGGAGGTAAGTACTAGTGGTTTAAAGAGATGAAAATCACATTATTCTGCTATGCACCCTTCCAAGTGGAAGCATGGAATGGTAGTAAGCATCTCCCTAAAATTGAATAGAAGAAAATTAACAATCCCAGAGAGGTGTTGGGGTGGGAACACAAAGAATTTTCTTAGCACCTTTACCTCCTTCCTGGGGCTGAGCTGTGATGTTGAGTTCACACTGCACTTTAGCTTTAAGCACAAGAACAATCTGCTCCTCTATCGTAATGGTGCCATCAGAATCCATCTGTAGGAATAAACAAAACACAGAAAAACATTGCATTGTATTTTTACTTAAACTATTATACAAGCTTCCAGCATTTGCTCGAGTGGGCCCAGTAACATTGTGAGACTTGTTACTGTGTTTGGCATATCGAATACGCCATGAAATATAATTGAAAATTAAAGTTTTGACATCCAGTCGTCTGAAATTTTTCTTGAAATTAAATTCTAAATATATCAGTTATAAGGTTGTATAGTAGTCATACTTTTATCTTAATAGAAGGAAAAAATTCCTACCAGAAAATGTTGATCTAAATAGCTAATTATATTAGGTATAATGTAATAAAAAACTTCTGGATTATTATAAAGGCCCAATATATTGTCTTTTGGTACTAGTGTAACTCTGGAAAAGTCACCTCAGATCATTTTTTCCAGTTTTTTTTTTATTTTATAAAGCAGTTCACAATATATGATTATCAAAATATATGATAAAGTTTTCCTTAGAGGAAGGAGTGTGAAGATTGTTGTTATTATCTGATTATTGGATCTGTTCATAACTATAGGTGCTAATATCTCCCATTGTTATAATATTGTGTCCAATGTCACTGTTTAGTTATACTAATAATTGCTTTCTATTTAGTGACTCTTCATTTGGAACATATACATATATTAATAAAAAAATTTTGTTTCAGTAGGACCATAATCATTATATAATTCAGAACCCTATATTATCACTTTAGGAGAGAAGGACGGAAGGAAGGAAGGAAGGAAGGAAGGAAGGAAGGAAGGAAGGAAGGAAGGAAGGAAGGAAGGAAGGGGGCAGGCTAATTCGAGGGACAATATGGGGTGCTGGTGATATTGGGTTGGCTGTGTGCCAGGCAAATGCCCTATCTGCCTTACTACCTTTCTAGTCCCACATTTTATATTTCCTAAATGGTCACGGCAGAGCCTGGCAAGCTACCCGTGGCGTACTCGATATGCCAAAAACAGTTACAATAACAGGCCTCATTCCCCTGACCTTGAAAAAACCCCCAATAAACCATTGGGCTACGCTAGCCTGCTACAGGGGCAAATGAAGTCATTACTGGTGCCCGCTCAAGCAAGTCGATGATCAACGGGATAACAAGTGACAAATGGTCGCTTTGGATGTTACTAAATACTCATATTTTTGTCTATCTGTAACTTTTATCTCAATTTTGACTTTAAATGTTAATCTGATAGGGTTTTCATTTCAAAAGTCTTTGCTTTCAGCACTTTGAATGCATTGTGGCCTTTATTTCTGTCCAGTACAGTTTCACTTAATGGTGTACTGTAATCTTACATGACTTTCCTTAATAAAATTTGTTTTTCCATAGATGTTTGTCCTATTCTGTTCTTTAGTTTTCATGACAAAACACAAGAAACAAAGCAAAAACAAGTGGGACTATAGAAAACTTTTGCCCTGTAAAATAAATAACATAATAAAAAGAAGATGAAAACTATGTGAAAATCACAAAAATGAATCATTTATTTCTGCACCCCAAAAATGAGTATCATTCATTAAAACTATGAGGGTACTATTTTATATCATGTTTAATACGAAGAGTAGCTCTTTCAATACATAGCTGGACATACTGTTCTGAAAATTTCTAAATAATATTATTTTTAATGCTCACATTTATTTTATTGATTTTTATAAAAAGAAAAGAGTAATTGAAAAACAATTTGGGGACTTGAAAATGATCCAAATTTTCAGATGCTTAGCTATACTAAAAGTGAGCTATAAAAATCTAACATCAAAAAAGACAGAGCTAATCGGAAACAGATGAGTCATTTGAGTAGGCATGACAGGAAGAATTGACTTTTTCCCATTCATTCTCTAGAAACATTCAAGCACTATGGAAGGTGGTTTTTTTAATTTCCTGCCTATTTTTCAGTTTAATGGTTACTTTCTTTTACTTCAGTCCTAGAAAACACCAGGTAATCTGTGTTCAGGTTTCAGTACAACGAATTTGGTTCAAAGAAATTTTCCTTACAATTACCAGACATTTCAAATAAGCCTTTGTGCCCTTTTCACTGGAATAAATTTGTTTTTGTTTTCCTTTCTACAGATTCAGCCCTTTTGCTGGAATGATTTTTAAGTGCTCAGCATCAATAAAAAATAGCAATGGAATTTTGATTTAAAACATGTGATCAATTTAATCATAAAAAGTTTGATTATCACAAGTTAATTCATGATCTCAATGATCAATTACTCAATGATCAATTTAAGTGAGAGTAAAAAAATATTTTGCATATTTTATATTGCTTTTCTCTTTCTCTTTTGTTACAAATACAACGTTCTTTATCATAGAGCAGGAGTGAAAACAGCACCCTGTCCCCACCCAGGAGATTTACCTGCTTTTTTAAAAAAAATGTTTTTAAGTTTATTGAATTAGTATGAATTACCACCAAGTTACAAAGTTATTCATGATTGGGAGGTTAACCTTCTTTAAGCAAACAAGTGCCCTCTAATTGAACCCAAGTATACTACTTATTTCAGCATCCACCATAGGGGTGGTATCATCCACTCTGGGAAAGAATGTCATAAAGGGACATTAAAAGTATGATGTACTTAAAACAGAAAAAAAATTTTATATACAATGGCTATTAGACAAAGGTAAAAATTACATCTAAAATAATGTAGAAAATAGATGTTAAGTCATTTTTATGGATTAGTGGTCTCTTATAATTTGAAATTAAGTATTGAATTTCATCATCAAGAACATCCAAATTTTATATCCATCATACTATTGAGATTACCAAAAGTTGTATCTATACTTATACAAATTAATTATTAATGTCAAATGTTAATTATATAGTTACAAAATTTACATTCACATTTCATTTTCAAGTAAATGCAAATTTATACATTATGTGTGTTGAAAGAAACTCTGGTAAATGTGTACTTTCTTGTACTTCTCCCAGCAAGTACAACTAAAATCTCTGCATAAAATGAACAGAAGATAATTCTGAAACACCAAGAAGAGAAAAATCAGCTAGGGCCCTCAGATTCCAAAGAACAAACCACTGGTAAATTTTCTGCATTTTCTTTATGCCTCTTATGTTCTCATTGGGGATCGGAGAAGCTGGAAACTAAAGTACCAAAAGGGCTGACAAATTACAAAATCTCAAGAAAACCATGTTCTCTATGACAAAACAAAGAAAAGGGAAATCTGATTAAGGATAAAACTAAGAACTTCTTCAATCAAATGGCACAGGGGGAAACTTGCAATCTTCTTTCGATCCGAACCCCCCCCCCCAAATAAATGAGCCTAGCCTTCTACCTGCCAGGCTACAAATATGTGCCCTTATGTCCTCCCTAAAGTTGTTTCAGAACAAAGTATAGAGCAGAGACATTCACCCAAATTTGTCAGTAAGAAGGCAATTCACACTCCCATCCTCTACACACACACAGTCACTGGAGACCATACAGGTATCCTGGACATCGACCTTCACCGAGCAATAACAGGATGCCTCTTGATTAATTCTCTAGGTTGATGTTATAAAATACCTCATGATAAACCAATCTAGCATCAAGATCAGCACCCATTGTGGTAGAGATCAAGTGTGAAGAAGAATTTTACACTCCCATCCATCAACAGCAATGCTGCCCTAACTTTGGTGTACACAATAGCTGGGAAACTTAAAATTCTACCTCCACTGAACTTGACTAGTCATAAACCCATTTCCCCAGCAATATTAATACTACCAAATAAAGCAGACATCTGAGCAAATGATATTACCAGACACTACAGGAAAATTTTATAAATGTGACTACATCCAGAAATATAGAGGTGCAAAATCAGAAAAAAAATAGAAAAATCCACAATTAAAAGTAAAAATTCCAGTAATCCTCTCTCAATTAATTGGTATAAAATAAAGATATATAATAGAACTCAAAAATGGCATCAAGCAAGAAGATCACATTTACAGAACACTTTACAGTATAGAATACACCTTACATATATGTGATCATATTGGGTTTTTACCCTTCGCACTTATTTTCATCTTTTCTTCATACTTATTTTCAAAGCTATTCTTCATTGGGTTTCAGTTATACAATGTTCCGACACCCGGTCTCTTCACCAATGTATATTTCCCACCACCAGTTTCCCCACTTTCCCTCCCTCCACCCATCCACAACCCACTATGGCAGGCACTTCCCTGCCACCACATCCCCCATCTGTCTTTCCTTTTTCTTTTCATTTTCTTTTTAGACTTTGTGGTTTTGATGTGTAGTACCCCACTGTGTAAATGTACCATAGTTTCTTTACCCAGTTACCTCTTCTTGGACAATCTGGTTGTTTCCAGAATTTAGCTATTGTGAATAGTGAAACAATGAACATAGAAGAGCAGATAGCCTTCTGCATTGCGTTTTTGGGACCCTAGGGTATATTCTCAGGAATAATACTTTTGGCTCATAAATGGAAGCTCAATTTCTAGTTTTATGAAGAATGCCCATATTGCTTTCCCAAAAGGCTGAACCAGTTGGTATTCCCAGCAACAATGAATAAGAGCACCTTCCTCCCTGCATCTGTACCAGTACTGGATGCTCTTGTTCTTTTTGATGTGTGCCGGTTCTGTAGGATGAAGTGCTTTCTGGTTGTTGTTTAGATTTGCATCTCCCTTACGATTATTGATGTAGAGCATTTATTATGCGCCTTTGGGCATTTGTATTTCTTCTTCGAGGAAGTTTTTGTTCATTTCTTTTCCCCATATTTTGATGGGAATGGATTTTTTTCTTATAAATGTCTGCCAGTGTCTTATATATCATTAATATTAATCCCTTGTCAGATGGATGTTGGATAAATAATTTTTCTCATTCTGTGGGCTGTCTTTGATTCTTGGTCACCATTTCTTTTGAGGTACAAAAGCTTCTTTAGTTTAATGTAGGTTTTTTTAAATAATGCAGGAGCACTTCTATTTATTCAGCCATTGATTAAGCTGATTTGATTGGACATGAACTCCACATTACTTTTTTTAGCTTTTTAATTTTATAAGTTA